TACCTGTCCACCTGCATTGACCAGGTCAACTCTTTTGGGGACATTCTGCAGCTTGTTATCGTTGAGCTGATTTATAAGGCAAGTATTGGTATTTATTTGAGATTGAGAAGGTTGGCATTAATATTGATTTGTGAATGTCATTGGTTTATGTTGACTGACTTTTGTTATTATTTGTAACTTTTTTTCAGTTCTTATAAGGAAGTGAATATTTTCCTTGCAGGTATGTCATGCCAATCCAGGAGAAAGAGCAAGATTCATCAGGTGTATTTATAATCTACTGAATTCTAGTAGCCCTGCTGTCCGCTACGAAGCTGCCGGCACCCTTGTCACCTTATCTTCAGCCCCAACAGCTATTAAGGTGTGTTTTTATAGTGATTTCCCAGTGTGACACAAGGACACAACATAGACAACATGAATATTTATAATCTGTATTGACTTTGATATGGAGAACAAGACACTGAATATGTCTTTTTTCTCGCCAGGCTGCAGCTAATTGTTACATTGAGCTCATCGTGAAAGAGAGTGACAACAATGTCAAGCTCATTGTCCTGGATCGTCTAGTGGCACTGAAGGACTCTCCACAGCAGGAGAAGATCCTGCAGGAACTGGCCATGGATGTGCTCAGAATCTTGAGCACTCCTGATCTTGAAGTTCGCAAGAAGACCCTTAATTTGGGTAAGTGTTGATGAAAAGGTTTATTTCAAGAAGACGTGATTATTTATTTGTAGATCTGTGTTGATTATTTGAATGTGTTATATTCATCCTCATTGTATTTTTTCTTCTCTCTAGCACTGGAATTAGTGACAATGAGGTCTGTAAATGAAATGGTAGAAGTGTTGAAGAAAGAAGTTGGGAAGACCCATAACACAGTTGAACACGAGGACACGGGCAAGTAAGTTTCGCAACAAGGAGATTTTTTAAAGACATTTTGCAAGGATACTGATATGATTTTTAGCTGAAAGTATAGGGACCACACATGCTAAAAGTTTGCAGAAGTTCAAATTTTTCAGTATAAGAATACGTACTGGCAGTCAGGTGAGGAACACAAGTAATTTATTTAATGCTTTCTCAGGTATCGTCAGCTGCTGGTACGCACACTACACACAATCAGTATGAAGTTCCCGGATGTTGCTGCAAATGTGATCCCGATCCTTATGGACTTCCTCTCAGACAACAATGAACTTGCCGCAACAGATGTATTAGTCTTTGTTAGGGAGGCTATTCAGAGGTTTGAGGTAAGCAGAGTAGATTATCCTAGGAGGAGCTAGTGCAGATTAGCTCATGGAATAGATATTTCACTTTTTATTATAGTATGGATCTCTAGTCAGAATTTATTGAGCAATAGAGAGAAATGGAGGAGAGCAAGTCTCATACATTTGAGTAATAGTATGCTTAGATAAAGAGAGCAGAAACATGATATGTATCATATTTAAGTTGATTCTAACATAATTTCTGTCCTTGTAGGGTCTGCGCTCCCAGATCATAGATCGTCTGCTTGGTTCATTAGCAACAATCAGATCTGTGACTGTGCAGTGTCATGCACTGTGGATTCTTGGAGAATATGCTTCAAGCACAGGTATGCAGAAATGTCTTGTCAAAGTTGAAAACTAATTGAAAATATATTAAGCTCAATATTGATGATGAAATTTGTCATTTTCAAGATGCAATTTGTGGATTTCGGAATGTGGACTTAATTCCTTTTCTTTTTTACTTTAAAGGGGAGATTCTGGGTGTTGTATCTGCCATAAGGGGAAGTCTAGGAGAACTACCCATTGTTGAGGACGAGATGCGCAAGGCAGCAGGTGAAGCAGGAGAGGATGATGGCTCAGGGGACAAGGCTGGCCAACCACAGCAGCAACAGAAAGTCACAGCTGACGGTACTTATGCCTCACAGTCGGCCTTCTCCACAACTACGTAAGTTTGTTTTTCATTTTTCTCTTCATGGAAATTACACATATGCAGTGAGCACCATATAAGATATCAAAAAAGATGTCTAATACTAATACCTTGCATTGCAGATCCTCCCTCAAAGCCGATGATCGTCCACCACTTAGGAAGTACCTCCTTGAAGGAAACTTCTATCTTGGTGCTGTCATTGCTAACACCCTGGTTAAACTTGCTTTCCGGTGAGATCTAGCAGTATTTGACATTTGTGGTTGGAGATTATCCCCCAGCAGTAATGCAAATATGTAGGAAATTTTTACCCATAATTTATGTACTATGATCTTTTTCTTTAATTATCATTATAATGAAGAAAGATGCAACAGAACTATTACTGATATATATTTAACTGCTTCAACCCACAGCTACATCTCACTGGAGGCTGATGTTAATAAGCAGAATGCCTTCTGTGCTGAAGTGATGCTTGTGATTTCGTCCATTGTGCACCTTGGAAAGTCAGGTCTGCCCCAGAAGGCCATGACAGATGATGACTATGACCGCATGATGCTCTGTCTACAGGTAAAATAAAATTTGGTTGTTTTTTATATAATTTTATTTTGATTGTTTGTATTAAATTCTTTTCTTATATTGATACAAAAATTTGTCGTAGAAGTGATAATTTCATTAAATAACTTTAAACTATTTCCAGGTGTCAAGTCAGTTGAATTAACTTAGACATAAATACATTTTTGTCAAATACCACATTCATATCCTAGTAGTTTTGTTGTTACTTAGCAATTTCCTTTTCATTCAGGTTGTGTCTGAGCGCACCCCCAGCCTGGCATCAGTATTCACAGTACAGTGTCGTGGTGCACTGTCCCACATGCTGGCAGCCAAGTCGGAGGAGGAGGAAGCCCAGAGACGTGATCGCAAGGCCAGCAAGGTGGTGGAACACGTAGATGACCACATCTCCTTCTCACGCTTAACCAAGGGCAGTGACCTCTCTTCAACTGATGACATGTTTGACCTCTCAATGTCCATGGCTGTTAGTGGAGGCAAGAAGGAAGGCATTGACCTGAGCACAAGCAAATTAAGCAAGGTAAGCAGGCCAAAGTTTGTTTCTTTTTCTGATAATGTGCGAGTCTTTAGAGGAGACTTGAAGTATTACGTAATCTATTGGTAGTGTTAATTGCTGTTTGTGCTAAGTCTTGTTTTGTTTGGCATTGTTAATATGACATTTCAAATCGGAACCTCCTCCTCAACAGGTTACACAGCTCACTGGCTTTAGTGACCCTGTGTATGCTGAGGCCTACGTCCACATCAACCAGTATGACATTGTCCTGGACGTCCTCATCGTCAACCAGACCAATGACACGCTCCAGAACTGCACCTTGGAGCTGGCCACTCTAGGGGACCTCAAGCTAGTAGAGAAGCCACAGCCTATTGTCTTGGCACCACATGACTTCTGCAACATCAAGGCCAATGTCAAGGTGGCCTCAACTGAAAATGGGTTCATCTTTGGAAATATTGGTGAGTTGGCAGTTATTTTCTAGAAGCAACTATTTTATCAATTTTGTCAATAAGAACTAGGGGATTTGAGGAAATTATTTTGAAAAAAAATGTATCTAAACTTTTGATATAAGAATAAATTTCATTTTGCTTATTTTACTATTTTGCAGTATATGATGTCAAGGGTTCAACAAGTGATCGCAATGTTGTTATTCTGAACGACATTCATGTGGATATTATGGACTACATTGTTCCTGCAACCTGCACAGACCTTGAGTTCCGCCAGATGTGGCTTGAATTTGAATGGGAGAACAAGGTACGTGTTATTTATATTTGCATTTGGGGTGAGGGTTTGATAAGTATTTTTTGGACCATGTTACCTATAAGTCTTCCAACATTTTATCCACATCCCTTTGGTTGTCAGCATCCAAATGATTGTGTTCAGCATTATTAGTCATATATTCTTAGTCAGTTTTGTAGATTCCAAAGAAGGTATTATTTTCCTTTGTGAATTTATGTAGGCCTAGATAATTATGCACATATCTCTGTTTGCTCTAGAAGGTTTATAGGTATAGCATACAAATAATGTAACAGGATTTTGGGATCACTGATTTTATCGTTATACAATTTTTGGAAGCACTGATTGTTATTGCTCTGACTATCAAAATATTGTTGACCCAATAGTATATCATTATTGAATCAAACCTAAAGTAATGAACACTCTACTTTTCAGGTGACAGTCAACACTCAGATGACCGAACTTAAAGCATATCTTGACTATTTGTGTAAGTCCACTAACATGAAGTGCCTGACACCAGAGAAGGCACTCACAGGGGCTGGTGACTACATGGCAGCTAACCTTTATGCACGCTCTATCTTTGGCGAGGATGCACTGGCCAACTTGTCTATTGAGAAACCCTTAGACAACCCCGAGGCTGCCGTCACTGGACATATCAGAATTCGTGCCAAGAGCCAGGTTAGAGCTTCAGTAATTCTGCCAGTTTCTACCATTATTTTGATTTGTCTGTCTAGTCATCAAGACAGATTTAAGAATACTGATTTATATTAATATCATTTCCTCCTTTGTGTATAATTAGTATAATTTTTGTGTTCCTTTCAGGGAATGGCCATCAGTTTGGGTGACAAGATCAACAAGGTGCAGAAAGCTACAATAAAATCTGTAGGAGCCTAAAACCACCTTGAGACTTCCAGTGTTATCCAGCGTTGTTATATTGAAAGATCCGTATTTTTAAGCAAAACATACATATAAGAATATATATATATATTATCACTTCATTCATCTCCTTTTAAACTAATATGGATAGATTGATCAAATTTAAAAAGAAGCAAAAGTTTTGATTTTTTTTCTTTGTTTTTTCTTCACCATAGTGGATGTGCAGGTTGGATGTGGGACGGCAGGATTATTTAATTTGTTTTTGTTCTGTTTGTCTTTATATTTTAACAGTACCAATCACAGCTTATTTTTTAGTATGAAGTTCTGTTGTCATTAGATGTATGAATAAAGGATGGTTTCTGTTTCTTTTGTTTTTTTTTAAATCCCTCTAAAAAAAAATTATGTATAGTGATAAAAGTTGGATTTTCTGTTTTAAGGACAGTTTCTGTCCTTAAAATAGATATGCAGATGACATTAGAAGGAAAGCTTCCCGAGGTCTGTCATAGGAAAGAAAATCTCACACAGGTATTAAGTTTAAGTTCAGACACATTGTCTTTGCAATTAGGGCAATGAAAGATTTTCATAGACCACTGTCTCAATTAAAACAGCATTGTTGAGGTATGATTTACATGCTTGCTCTGCATCCCCATGCCTATTATCAGTTGGGACAAGAATAAAGAAATTGGATATGGAGATTATAATACTGAGTTTGCAGTGTTGTTTTAGAGAGACCATTGTTTTTTCATTGGAAGGATATATACAGCCCTTTTTTTCTTCTTTTCTTTTTTTCTTTCTTTCTTTCTTTCTTTCTTTGCACATAATGCTCAAAATTCAGTAATTTTATAATAGACATTTGGCGTCATGCAAATTTTTCAAGAAGGCCAGATAAAAAAAAGAAAAGAAAACTGTACTCATTCCAGGGCATTAGAGAACGAAATGAGCATTAATACTTGTAGTTTGGTATAATTTGTGTCTGCAGAATCACAGTGTGACCAAGACATATTTTTTTTTTTTTTTCCCTAAAATACAAACGCTTTCAATGAATGCAAAATAGCTCTGTGATCTGTCTTTGAACTTACCAAATTTTCCTTTTCTTGTTTATCATTAGATTTTTGCAACATCTGATGAGGAACTCCTAGCGTGTTCAAGTTGTCACGTTTTATTTCATTCCTATTGTGAATGTATTTTGCTAAATCACCATTTGTTTTAAAATACCTGTATGTGCACATTACTGTTTGTGTTGGTAACCAACCTTAGCCATATTTCGAAAATAACCCCTCAAATGATTTATTCTACTATTTTGATAAATCTAATGTTAAAACTAAGCTTAATGAGGCTTAGGCCCCCCAATCCCTTGCCCGTTGTTGTCGTGGGGGGCTTAGGAGGCGGAGACTGGGACCCAATGATGGGGAACTCCCCAACCTTGGGACTCAGCCCTCGACTCAACTAATTATGCATGGTCTTTTTTTCCCTTCCCACTTTTGTTTCTGTCCCTTCACCAAACCCTTCTGCTATCCACCTCCTAAGGTGTGAGAGCCGTGCTGAAAGGATGAAAGGCTGACTTTGTGCCAGTCCTGAACGGCCTGAGGGAGCCATGGGCACGGTACTCCCCTGATTTAGTTATCTAGCCCTTACCCCTCAAGGGGACCCTGAGGGGTGGACTGCTTTTATCCCCAACATAATCCAGGCTTCCCATGGCCAGTAATGAAAATATATCCCCAATGTTAGGGGCAATGAGGCTTGCCCCTTTATCAAATAGCCCCAACGAAGTAAACCCACCCGATTCCCCGACCCCAGGCTCTCCTTTGACCACGGCTCCAAACACTGCAATAACTACCCCTTCACCAATGCCTACTAGTACAGTAGCCAACAATCAACCCTCAAGGGACATTTCCACTCTCCCAGCATGCCCAACTTCAACACCTCTACCCCCACAACCTCCAACATCAACCACCCCATCCTCCCTTATTAATACCTTACAGCCTTATAGCCCACCTCTCCATAACACTACCTCCATCAACACTACTCCATCTTCGTCACGCCCTCGCCCTTCTACCACCCCTATCTCTAAAACAATCTTGAATACTCTCTTCAGTGCAGCCAAATGGGACCGATTTTTCGTGATCCCTCCCACAGCTCCCTACTCTAACAACACCCTTCTCTTCCAACAATGCCTCCAAAAACAAGTAGGTAAAGTCTCTTTCCGTAGCCGACCCGACCGCTCCCGTCTTGTAACAGTAACATCCGAAAACCAAGCCATAGCACTAACAAAACTAACTGACCTATATGGTAACCCCATCCTAGCAGAACCCCATCCAACCCTCAATACTTGCACCGGAACAGTCTCAATCTCACCAACAAATTGCCCAATCTATGACAAAGAATGGTCAGATTGTGGAGAAGATCTACTTGCCTGTCTCACAGACTACGATGCAACATCAGTACAATGCTATTCCATCCCCCCCAGAGGTCATCGAAAGAAACCCACTAACATAGCCAAAATTACCTTCCGTAGACATGACCTTCCCTTTAACGTCTACATAGGAGGAGAATCCCTCCCTGTTCGTCCATACCAACCTCCTCCACGTCAGTGCCAAAATTGTTGGCGTCTAGGACACCCAGCCAAACACTGCCGTTCCACAGCCAGATGCCCATTATGTGCCCAACCTGGCCATACCCGATCTAACTGCTCTGCACAATCACGCACATGTGCCAACTGTGGCGGCCCCCATAATGTATTTTATAGGGGCTGTCCCACCTACAAATTTGAATCTGAGGTAGCAACTCTCAGATTCAAACTCGGACTCACACTGCGTGAAGCCAGACAGGAAGCACGTCGACGTGGATTCTCTCTTACTCCTTACTCCAGTAATACTGCTCATCCTAACACTTCTCCTAAACCCACCCCTCCTACATCTAACCCCCCCACTAACCCCACCTACCTTCCCCAGTCAAACTCTTTTGCCATCCTAAATCCAGAAACTCCAATCTCTACTACAGATACTCCAATCACTACTACAACCCCAACACCTTCCCCTCTCCCTCCTCGCACTCCCCGTAACAGACAGAACAAACGTTCCACCCCCTCTTCCCCTACCACACAATCACCCCCACCATCCTTTGCCCGTACTCTTGAGACACCAGTCCTCTCTTCCCCCCCTCACAAGAAATCCTTTATCCCCCAAAACTCCCCAACCAACTCCACAGAAGAAACTATTGAAAATATTCAAGATTACTTAATGAAAACCGACACTCAACCTACAACTCCTGCTCCTTCCACACTCCAAGTAATTGCTGATATCCATCCTCCTCCTAACGATATCCCCCCTACACCCTACCCTCCTACCCCCTCCCAACACAGCCCATCCCCCCTGACCCTGCCCACATTAACTCTCCCACCATCCCCTCTATCCCTTCCACTCCCTCCTGGATACACACGTGAATCCCTTATGTCACAAGTATCCCCTTCCTCAGACCCTCCATCTCCTACTACCCCTCCTGATAGAACACCAACTCCCACATCTCTCCCATCTCAAACCTCTCAGTCCTTATCCCACCCTCTAGCTGCTTCCCCCTCAAATTCTCCAACACGTACTACAATCTATATCACTAAATCAACGAAAGTATAACTATCCTTCATTGGAATATTCGCGGTTTCCGCTCCCACAGACCTGACCATCATATCCTTTCCTCTTATAACCCATCTATTGTATGCCCAAGAAACCTTTCTTATGCATACCCTTTATCTAATATAACACCTGACCTTAACCCTTTCACTCACTAATTCCTTTGCCCAGCTTAGACAACTAATCACTAACTCAACCACCCTTCAATAACATTAACTATAGTGCTACATGACCTTAGATGTCTAGCACATTTATCTTGCTTTTAACCATTAATGAGGCTTAGGGATATTTTTAGTGGCCTGAAAAAGTAATGTTAACGGTTAATGGTTAGAAAAGCAAAATAAATGTGCTAGACATCAAAGGTCAGGTAGCGCTTTAGGAAGGTATAGTATCGGAAATGGTAGAGGGGAGTGAGATAATAATTAGTTGCTATACCTCAACAGTCGTGCAGCAGCAGTAGGATGGTTACTAGAAAGGGTAAAGATGGGTAACGGAGAGGAATAAATGGTTTATTGTAAAAAAAAATAACAAAGGGAATTAGATCAAGTAAAGAATATGTATGCGTCTGAGGATGAACAGGTTGTCAAAGGAGAAAATGTGGGATTCCGTAAGGATGATCTGACAGGTTTGGAGGTCGGTGAAGGGAGGATAGGTGAGGGAAAGCAAAGGTACGGGTTGTTGCAAAGCTTGGACAGGGAACAGAAAATATGTGGAACTAAAAGGGGAACATTACATAAGGAACATAGGGACGGATCAGAACGTGACATGAGATAGAAGTGTGTATGGCGGGAGTGGCCAATACGCAAGACCCGTCTGTTCTGATGAAATGGGGATGACCAAGAAGAGACAAAGTTTTACAGTATCTAATTTATTAGTGAGAAGAATTGACCAGAAAGATTATCGGCAGGTAAAAAGGTCCTAAAGGAAAACGTGGTATCAAAAACTATGAATGAGAAATAATATTTTCACAATACAAAAAAGTATTTGAAAGATTTCTATTATATCTTCATCAGAAATACATACACCAGAGATAAAAATAAGTCCGTTATGTAAAACTGAGCCTCGCCCGTGTCGAACTGAGGCCCAAGCCACAACAGTATACTCGAGGCGACAATTGCAGCTCCACGCGCCTAGGCGTGGCATGAACTGCCGACCCCTGAGATGAAAGACCAACACGTTATCGTTTTACTAGCCCTGTACATGAGCTGACGAAACACCTGACGACTGCAATCTCCCACTCGTTATCCGTATAATTGCAGCCGCAACCTTGGATAGTTTGAAGCTGTCCGATTCTGTGTTGACATTTTTCTCCGCAGCGATGTAAGCAGCTTCCATAATTTTCTTTTGTGTTTCTTCAGTTCTTCATGGATTATTTCTGCTTTCTTCCAGTTCGGTAGACGTCTAGCTTCATATACATGCGTCACCATGGCGTTGGAAGTCCTGTGGTGACGGACGTCAGCTTAATGTTCGCTGATCCTGGTGATGAAACCGCGGCTCATTTCATCAAAATGTCCTCTATATACAACACTCCTGGGGTTGTTTTTGGGCTACTGTCTGTCTAGTATTATGTCATGTTTCTTTTCACCGGGTGTGCTGGCGATTTTTCATTGTACTGCCAAAGTAACCCGGGAAATGTTACATGGCGGTAATATGAGAAAATTGGAAGAGAGTGCAGGGTCTGATCGTGTGGGTATATTCTCCGCCTTCTTTCTGAGGTTTAGCAGGAAGCCTCTGGGAT